ATTAGCAATATAGTAAGTAAAAGAAAATACCTAATAAAAGAATTGGAAGATAAATCAAGTAAATTTCCACGAAAATAGAATAAGAAGGCAAAGAAAAGAGGCCATTTTGAGAAAAGAAAATAAAGGCGGCAATGAATGAGGGCCAACAACTGTCTAATACAATTTCTGGGAAAAAACAGAGAGCAGAACATTTTCAAAGAAAAAAATGTATAAGGAAAAGTCTCAAGACTAAAGTACCTGCATTTCCGAATGCAAAGAGCCATTGAATGCCCATGATGACAAGTGAAACAAATTCTACATTATAGCTTATCACAGCAACAGTATTAAGGAGAAAAGATATTTTTAAAAACTGAAACTAAAAATTAGTTCACATAGAAAACTAGGGTATCAAAATTCTGCACAGCAACCCATGAAGCTAAAAAACAATGCAAGACATACCTTTAAAGTTTTGAGTGAAAATAATTTCCAACTTAACATTCTGTATTTCAAAAAATTACTAACTCAATATGACATCAGGACACGTCAGTTCCCATAGTCTTTAATTTTTACACATACTTTCTTTGGAAACTAATTGAGAATGTGCTCCATGAAATGAGGAAGTAAACCAAGAAAGACAAATATCTAGGAGAAGACAACAGAGTCACCAGGATGTCTAAGGGAAGATAGGGGGGTGGGGTGGGGAAAAGAAAGAATTAGAGGTAATAGTGCCCAGGCCTAACCAAGGGCCAGGAATAGGGCCTGTTCCCATCAACCAGACTGGAAAATCTAATAATTGAAGAAGCATTGGGTAAAGCACACAGAATGGTCTTGTCTCAGCAGTAAAAAAAAAAAATATTGACCCTAAACTGAGCACTGCTCCGATCCTGCCTAATAGATCTTAAAAGCAAGACTAAAACAAACTGTTTCCCATTAGCTTAATTGTGTTGTGAAACAAAACTCACTATTTATAGGGAGGCAAGAACATCTAGCACCCAACCATGTAGAATTCTCAATGTCTGTAATTCAATCAAAGATTACCAGGCAAGCAAAGAAATTAGAAACTACTATTGATAGTGGGAATATACATGAATCAATTGAAGCCATCCCAGAAATAACACAGATCTGAGGAATAGCTAACAAAGAGATTAAAACAATTAAACAATTATAACTGTATTCTATATGGTCCAGAAGTTAAGAAGACACATGAAAGATATAAAAAGGAGACAAAAATTACCATGTGAAAGATGAAATATGAACTGGATTGGAATAACTGCAGATTAGATAGTGCACAAGACAAGATTAGTGAATGTGAATAGAGTAGAATTTGAATAGCAATAGGAACTATCCAAAATAAAATGTAGACAGAAAAGAAGGGAAAGAAATTAACAGAACACCAGTGAGTTATGAGACAACCTTAAATAGCCTAATTTACATGTAACTGAAGTCCTTAAAAGAGAGAAGAGGTGGAAATAGAAAAAATATTTGAAGAAATAATGGCCAAAAATTTTCCAAATTTGATGCAAACTACCAATACAGAGACCCAAGAAGTTCAGTGAACTCCAAGCACAAGGAATATAAATAAATTTACACGAAAGCATATCATAATTAAATTGCTTAAAATCAGCGATAAGGGGAAAAACAGGGACAAAAGACCAATTACATACAGATTAGGATGACCACAGATTTCATGTCAGAAAAAATGCAAGTAAAAAGATAGTGGAGCAACATTTTAAACATGCTGAAAGGAACCCCCCCAAAAAAATTGTGAACCTAGAATTCTATATCTAGTAAAAATGTCTTTCAAAAATAAAGGCAAACAAAAAAAAATTCACTTCAAAAGTAAAATAAGTATTTTTTCCCCCAGACACACAGATGCTGAATTTCTCACCAGCAGATCCACACTATAAGAAATGTCAGAGTCCTTCAAGAAGAAGGAAAATTATACCAGATGAATTAAGGGGTCTACACCTGTATACGAGTCTATACCCATAAAAATGAAGACCACCTGGGCCGGCCCGGTGGCGCACTGCTAGAGTGCGCCGCTTGGGAGCGCGGTGGCACTCCCGCTGAGGGTTCGGATCCCACATACAGACCAGTTCCCGCTCACTGCTGAGTGAGGTGCAGGT